AAGCCGGTTCTGAATTCCCTACTCCCTTCATTAGTTCATCAATCCCTTTATTTTCCATAAGTGTATCAAACATTTCTCAGCTTGTCCTTCGTCAGCGTACATTACAGTATGGACTTTTGACCTTTATTTTGGCAGCAGATATTTTATTTAGTCAAATTTGGCGCCATGTTTATGAACAGAAACACAGATTTTTGCATTGTCTGGGGAAGTTTCAGCTGGATCTTTTTTGTGTCAAAGAAAGAGAGAAATTAATGAGAATACTTCCTTGAATAAATCCCTTTAAATTTATTGCCCATCATCGTGGAGATGAATTTACTTAGGAAAAAAATAAGAAATTCTGAGAATGAAGGAGGTGAGACAATAGAAATCAGAGTTCCAGCTCTTATGTCCTAGCTCCTATGATTGAACATTGTCTCCATGGATTGAATAAACAATGATACAAGGAGAATTGTAAAGCATGTTTTACCCTGAGAAATGAACTAAGTTCCCGAAAGCCTTTCCATCAAGGAATATACCTATAATAGGAAAAGTTCAAATAAATTAAAGAGATAGAAACATTAACAGTTTTCTTTCTGTGAGCATCACTCACCGGAAGTGGCCCAAATGAGACCCACCCAGCTCCTCCCCTCTGTGATCTGAAGTCATCTTGAACCAAAATGGGGAGTACTAATGTCCACACCCTGTAAGATGTAATGAAGTTGCTTTGGATCTGGGCTGCCTGAGTTTGAGACCCTGCCTGTTTTATCCCTCATCCAGGGGTCTAGGGTGTGTCTTCATTAAACGTTCTCTGTCTCCTTATCATCTGTATGTAGAAAGGATGGTAATGGGATCTGACTCACAGGGCTACTGTGAGATTAGTGAGGGGACCAAGTACAGCACTGAGAATAAGATCCACTGCTGTGTTATCTATTTAAGGACCTATTCCAATTTTGACAACAACCTTGAGGGGGAGGCCAGGTGCCTGAGGGTTGCTGTAAACATTCAATAAGATCACCTTTCAACCTTGTTCCCAACACAGACACAGATGAAATCAAGTTAATGTTGTCAATTTGCTGGGTTTTTTCAACCTGAGGGGTGACTCAAGGGCCACAGGGATTTATGAGTTTATTTTACATGAGAAAAAGAATGTCTTCAAGTAAATTACATCACCAGATAACCAGCCCCCAGCTGCCACTGACGCCCAGAAGTCAGATTGCCAGAGGGTTTATCTGCAGTGAAAGAAACACAGATTATCTCTTTGTTTCTCCAAAACTCCTCCTGCCAAATCCCTTAGCTCTGTAACACCCCCTGCTCTCTTCTCTCCTTGAGGTGGATTTAAGAGAACCTGCCTTTTTGTTTTGGCCAATTTGAATAAAGCTTTCTCCATCTCCAAGCACAGATGTCTCAGTGATTGGCTCACTGCTCATCGGGCACATGAGTTTGAGATTAAGAGATCTGGTATCAAGGGTAGGTTTTATAATCTCGATTTGCAAAATGAGAGCCCTCTCCTTCAACTCATTTCGCTACATTTCTTCTTTTCCGAAGTGCCATTTGCGATATTCATTCCTATTTGTCCATCTCCCTCTTGTTAGGGGTGAAGAGGCAAATGAAATAATTCAACCAGGCTACCACTGCAGGTGTGTGATATTAGACGGAGCGTGTCCAATGGGGAGCAGCACAGAGAGTGTGAACAAATCTTCACTGAGAGCAGAACGGTGCAGCGGAAGCGAGCTGGGCTCCCAACTCAGAAGAAGAAGACTCTTTCTGCGTGTTTACAAGTGCTCAATTCTCTACATAAAATCTAGCTGTTTCCACTTTTTGCCTACTACGAAAAATGCTACTTTGATGAGGGTTTTCTGTTTTTGTTTGGGGTTTTTTGTTTTGCTTTTGTTTTCATGTGCAGTGGGGAGGAAATGAGTGTTGAGGAGAATGTGGTGAAACTGGAACCCTTCTCCATTTCCGGTGGGAATGCAAAACTGTGCAGCCTCGGTGGAAAGCAGTCTGGCAGCTCCTCAATAAGTTAAGTATAGCATTGCCATAAGACCCAGCAGTTCCACTTCTATGTATATACCAAAAGAATTGAAAACAGGTGTTCAAACAAAAATATGGGCTTGAATATTCACAGCAGTGTTATTCACAACAGCCAAAAGGAGAAAACCACCAAATGTGCATCAACTGATAAAGGGATAAACACAAGTGGTACACCCATTCAGTAAAATATTATTCAGGCAATAAAAAGCAATAGATTATAGATGCATGCTATGACGTGGATGAACCTTGAAAACATCAAGCTAAAGGAAAGAAGCCAGAGACAAAAGTTCATGTATTCTATGATTCCATATATATGAAGTATCCAGAACAAGCAAATCCAGAGACAGAAAGTAGATTATTGATTTTTAGGGTTTTAGGGAAGGAGGAATGTGGAGTGACTGCTTAATGGTTATGAGATTTCCCTTTAGAGTGATGAAAATGTTTAGTACTAGAGATTATGGTTGCACACCATTTAATTGTACTTATTGCCACTGAATCCTACTCTATAAAATGCCTGAAAAGGTTAATTTGTGTGTGTGTGTGTGTGTGTGCTGAGGTTCACCCTGAGCTAATATCTGTTGCCAATCTTCTACTTTGTGCTTGAGGAAGATTTGCCCTGAGCTACTGTCTGTGCCAATCTTGCCCTATTTTGTATGTGGTCACCAATACAGCATGGCCATCAACGAGTAGGTCTGTTCCTGGGATATGAAAGCGGGCCACCAAAGCCAAGCATGCCAAACTTAACCACTAGGCCATGGGGTCGATCCCCTAAACTGGTTATTTTTATGTAAACTTTACCATAACAAAAAATTTCTCAAGTTGCACTATAAAGCCATCCTTCCCAAAGTCAAGCATTTTGGCCTTTAATCTCCTTTTTCAAGAGTTTTAGATAAGAAATGTTTTACTAGTTTATGCATAATTATTTGTATATCTTATTTAATAACATCTCCATTAAGATCTGTTGTCCATTTTTTAATTGGATTGTTTTTTATTGTTGTTGAGATGTAGGAATTTTTAATATATTCTGTTGTTAATCCCTTATCAGATGTATGATTCAAAAATATTTTCTCCCATTTTGTGAGTTGCCTTTTCACTCTTTTGCTAGTGTCCTTTGACAAAAACTTTTAATTTTAATGATGTCCAATTTATCTATTTTTCATTTTATTGTCTGTGCTTTTGGTGTTATATAAATCATTGTCAAATCTGTCATGAAATTTTCCATTTCCTAATAAGAGTTTTATAGTTTTAGCTGTTATCATTGATCCATTTTGAGTTAATTTTTGTATATTGTGCAAGGTAAGTGTCCATCTTCCTTCTTGTGCATGTGGAGATCCAGTTTTCCCAGCACCATTTAAGAAGACTGTCCTTTCCACATTGGATGGTCTTGGTACCTTATCACCATCCTTTTCCATTAATATACAGGATAGTTGGCTCAATTTCACTTAGAATTTCCAAAATTCTGGCACTAAAAGAATCGGAACACTTAAATTCAGTGATTCAGCAAGACAAACAAAAGGCATGCATGCCCTCCATATGAACACAAAGATCCCTGTGCTAGTCGTCATTCAGGATTACAGCTAGAGTCAACTGGAGCTTGGGGGTAAATCATATTGTCTTAAGCAGATTAGATGTAATAATACAAACCAATTATATTTTTCAGCGATTATGAAATATTTCATATAAAAATGAGATAAGGAGGCATGGTATAACTAGATCTCAAGTTAATTTATAAATAAGATATTCTTTATTTGCAAACACAAAATGCCTCCACCTGCAATAACAACCTGGTGTATACAGTATCAACTCATTAACAGTACTCATTACAACTCTTCAACTCTAAAGGGACTAAGCTTACTTCCACCTTAGACCTGAGGAAACTGAGTCACAGAAAGAGGTTTAGTAACAAGGGCTCATGGGCTGTGACAGGGGAAGTCAGAACCTGGGGTCTCTCTCCGGGTCTGAACTTCTAATCCCTAATTTGTTCCCTTTAAACACGGTTTGCACCTCCATGTGTCTCTGCCAGATGCAGCCTTTGCCTCTCCAGTCTGAGCACCAAGATGTTGAATTCTGGTTGCTCATCATCTTACACCTGACGTGACTGTTCCCCCGCCAGCTGCACAGTAGAATCACTTGTGGAGATTTTTGAAAATAGTGATGTATCAATTTCACCCAGAGATGAACTGGCCTCAGGTTATGATTTTTGCATTGTGAGAGCTTGGGAAGAGCACAGATCAGATGAGTTATCTCTTGAGAGCACTTCCCCCTGAGTTTTAGGTTCAGTATGGAAGTTTGTTGAAGGATAATTCATCTCCAAGTGCTAGGAGCAAAGCAGGGGAGACTGCCTTTTTGAAAACTTTTATTTTGTTGGGGAAGAGTACATTAACTTAATGATGGAGGTATGTGGTGTTTGATGGGTTAGGAGACTTTATCTGGCTGGAGTTTTCTTTTCAGGGCTGCTGTGGGGGAGTACAGCAGTGGCTCTTTTTGGGGAACAAGCAGGAGCATAACTCAGGACTTACCAGAGTTAGACGTGGGATGGGGTCATGGCATGAACTCCTGCCCCTACTTAGTTCAACTCAGAGGCTTGCTGGAAAAAATCCAAGGCTTGTTCTTGGCCTGGGAGGGCAGAGCTGCCTGTCTCTCTGGCCCCCGTAGTTGCCTAGGGGCAGAGACAGGGCTGGAGACAACCCAGCGGTTTATATTAGAAGTCAAGAATACTGTCCCTAAGATGCAGCTAGGCCAGGGTCATAGCACACTGAGAAGCCTGTCAAGCAGAATGAAGTCCCTGTTGTGTCACAACCAGGGCATGGACAGAGACAGCTGATGTTGGTGGGAAGTCAGAATGAACAGAGCTGAGCTGTGTGGAAGGAGCTGTGGGAGAAAAGGGATTCTCAGATTTGGGCTGAATCGCTAACCCACATCCCAAGGAGTGCAGACCCAGATCTGTGTGTTCACAGCTGCATAAAGAAAACTAGAACTTCATCAACATATGAGACTTTTCAACAGTGCTGTTTATTGTTTAAATATTTACAAGTAATAATCTATTAATTTCTTACAAAATTCGGTATTCAGTCATCCCAGATCGCTTTACTATCTTGTATTTATATGCCGAATTTTTCCTATGAATATTTTCTCAAAATTCTGTGTTATCTGTATGCTAAAAGACTCTCCCACACTTTTTCTTTTCTCCTAGACTTGTTTTCTGATGTGAAATTCAGCTGCAGCTTTCTCCACTGTGATTTTAGGATTGCTGTCACTCAGTGTAGAACTTCACTGTTACCTGTGTATGAAATGAGTGATCTTTGAAGACTTTCCTTCTTTCAGGACCTTGAGAGTGTTTGGCATATCTGAATTCTCACATGGGCCATAAATGTCACCCTATGACTAAAGGGTTTCTCATGATTTCTCAGTGAATCACTTGTCTACAAATTACGGGTTTCTCATGATTTCTCATTGAATTGCCTCTTCAGTATGAATTAGTTGATATTCCCAAAGAGGCTTCATCCTCCCACATCCTCTTTTAGTGTTTATTCTTTCACTGAGTTTTCCTGTGCTCACTATGCCTGGTACTTGGCTGCATATTTGTTCACAATGATTACAGGCCTAGGAGTTCTCCCAAGTGGAGTCTGCTCATGTTGTTTAACCATAAATTATAAACGAGAGTATTCCCACACTGACCACAGACCCAGGGGTCCTCCCCGTGTGAGTCCTCTAGTGTGTTTAAAGTTTAGGGCTGTTGGTTAAAATATCTACATTCCTTATATTTACAGTGTGAGTTCTCTCAAGTCATCTATGGTAAGACCACTGACAGAAGGTTTTCTCACACATATGGATTCTCTTCCATATAAATTTGAGCATTGAAAGGATGACTGAAGGATCTTCCACATTGATTACAGTGTTTCTTCAATGTGTAAGTCCTCTGATGTGTTTCAATGTTAAAGCTATGATTGATGTTTCTTCTACATTCATTACAATCATAATACCATGTCATCTCAGGTCAGAATATTTACTGAGGGCATTCATGATTCTCTCTCCATTGTGGGTTCCCTCATGTCGTCTAAGGGCAGAACACTGACTGAAGGATTTCCCACACAGCTGACATTCATATGGTTTCTCTCCAGTGTGAGTTCTCTCATGTCGTCTAAGGGCAGAACATTTACTGAAGGCTTTCCCACATAGATGACACTCATATGGCTGCTCGCCAGTGTGCGTTCTCTCATGCTGTCTGAGGTTAGACGACTGACTGAAGGCTTTCCCACAGAGGTGACATTCATATGGTTTCTCTCCAGTGTGAGTTAGATTGTGTTTTCTAAGGTCAGAGCTTTGAATAAAGGCATTCCCGCAGATATGGCATTCGTACGGTTTCTCTCCAGTGTGAGTCATCTCATGTCGTCTAAGGCTAGAGCAGTTACTAAAGGCTTTCCCACACAGATGGCACTCACAGGATTTACCTCTAGAGAGAATCTGCTTATGTTGATTCAAGCATGACTGGTCACTAAGGGATTTTTGACACAGTTTGCTGATACAGGGTTTCTTTTCCATGTGAGTTAACGAATGTTGAGTCAACATGGAGCTATGAGTGAAATCTTCTCCCAAATCATTACGTTCAAAGGGATCCTCTGGAGTGTGAGATTTCTGCTTTAGGGAAGGAGATAAAAGGCTGTTAATGGCTTGCTCACATACATTCATTCATTCCTTTACATATGAATTCTAAACTTATCATTCAATGATAACCTCCAATTAAACTATTTCCAATGCCATTTGCATACACGTGTTACTCTCCTGCATACACAAAGATTTTCTCTTTTGTGGCGTAACAATTGCAGAGCTTACAGATTAACTTTGAAGGCTTCAACATGTCTCAAAGACTAGGCATATGAGCAATGTTTATGCAGCTGTCCTTTCATTTCAGATCTCAGGTTATGGTTTTGAGATCAGAGTAATTTCTTCACTAAATTGAAACTATCCAAGTTTTTTCTCATAAAGAACTTAATCCCAACCTAACTCAGGCTACTGTGCTCAATTACTAACCTCCCACTGCCAGGCCTTTCACTGGACAACCTGGAAACACCCATGAAACTTACCATTGGCATGTTTGCAGATGAGCCCTTCCTGCTGATATGCTGTGTGTCTATCATTTCTTGTTCTTTAAGGCCACTCTCCCTGCCTAAAACAATTGAAAAAAATAAACATTTAGAATGGCATTAGGGGGATGAAAATGTTGAAAAGTACCAAAACCCATGTGAGTATGTTTCAAAAATTGACACTTCAATGGGGAATAATCTAGAAAGAAGAAAAACATTATAGGACATTGATAATTAGTAAAGATTTTCAGGACAGAAATATGAAAAAAGTAAAATGGAGGTAAGATGCTAGGTAGGTCAAGAGAGGGAAAACATTCAAAGGGGAGGATAGGGACAACAGCTATTAGGTGAAAGTTTAACTTCAATAAGAACATGAATATTCCTTTCTCTAAAGCCAAAGACAATGGCAGGAGGACATGTGAATTGTGATTGACATATGCAAGGAATAATGACAACACCTGAACCATTCTGCTCCAATGTCTTCCACCTACATTTTAGAAAATGTCACTCACTTAACAAAATCTTGAGTTGGTATTTCTAAGAACGTGCTCAGTCACTGACAGGCACCTCCACGTACTGAAGCACAGGTCCCTGCTCCCTACCTGGACTCTGGCCTTGGAGAAATCCTGTTCCTTCACTCCACAGCTCTTCTTGCTCCAAGTGGAAAATCACGTCTGATTTGCAATGCTGATACCCTGTTCATGCAACAAAGGCAGGTGGATTTTGAGTTCCAAGGTAACAACCTGCATTATCATCAAGTCCAAGACAGGCTACTGAGGAAGAATGAGGAGAACAGTGAAGTTCAGCTCAGGCAACAAAACTCTGAACAGAGAAAACACTGAAGGTCCTTCACCAGACCAGGAAGAAATCTGGGTTGTGTGTCCAAAATTGTGAGGACCTCTGGATGCTGATATCCATGCCCAAGTTCAAGGACAGAATGCAGAATCCTCAGTCTTTACAAAAATGAAGAAACTGAATGTCTCCACAGTGGGTTGAGTATTATTTTCAAACAGACGCAAATAAACATAAGCTGCACAAGAATAATCAAAGCTCCATTATCTTCACTCCTCTGGTCTCAAGCCTCAGCATAATGACTAGAGCAGGATAACTATTTAGAAAATATTTAATCAATTTATTCATGCATTCAAAAATATTCACTGAGATCCTAGTTTTGCTCTGAGTATTAGAAATTGAGAAGCAAGAAAGATATTAAATTGTGGTCAAGACTACATTCTAGGGTGACAAAGTAGATATGAATAAAATGTAAAGAAACCACTTTCTTTCATGTAGTTATAAGGTCTATGAAAGAATCAGGGCAGAGATTGGACTGTGTATGGAGAAGCTGTTCTAGATACTTGTTGACTGACTGAATGAATAAATACCTACCTACCTATCTATAAACATAAATCTTGACAGACTCACCCATGGAGACCAGATGACTGACGTTCTCCAGCATCACATCTCTGTACAGCTTTCTCTGGGATGTGTCCAGCAGGGCCCACTCTTCCTGGGTGAAGTCTATAGCTACATCTTCAAACGTCACTGATTCCTAAAACATCATGGATATTCTGGTTTAGACAGACCAATCCCCACCAATGTCTGGAGTGGGAGGGCTGAGATGACAGCACTGAAGAAGGGGCTGGAAGAGCTGGATATGTAGGAAGATCAAACCGAGTTTGGGGTTCCCCTCAGTTCAGTCTCAGTGTGAGCTGGCATCTGCCTTTCAGACACATCACAGAGATAACACAGTCTGAATTAAGAAAACTTTATTATAAAGTAATATCACATGAAGTATGGTGTGGTATTCCCTGGAAATTTTCCAATCAACTTGTAATCACGACTTCCAGACATGTGATTATAAAATTTGCCCTTGAAAATTCATAACTAAAATTTTCTTTCTGATTAATGTCAAGTAACTTTACAGAGTCATCCCAAGGCAAACAATAACCATGATTTGCCACATTTAAACCATGACTATGGTTACACTATTCCCACAGATAAACCTCAGATTCCTCAGCTATGAAATGGTTTAATAACCTGTTATCAGTGTTGACAGATCCAACGAACTAACGTACGAATGTATGTATTCATCCTATCTAAGTAAACATGTATTAAATGCAAGTTATTAGTCTACTACTCATTGAAATGTCCAAGAACCTTGAAGCAATCTCAGCATTCCTTAGAACTGAACAAGATTCATACAGAACTTAGTGTCATTAGTCTCTCTCAACTCTACAGCACTCAGGTGTTCAGAACTAACTGTAAGGTCAGATTGTACAGCAGCACAAGCCAGCGACCTCGGAGATGGCTGTAATGAAGGACAGTCCTAGCCTGCCCATTCCTGTGGTACGAGGACTCCCATTCCCAATTTCCTCTGGGACCTCAAACACTAGTTACCGCTCTCTCTTGTCTTTTTTTTTTTTAAGATTGGCACATGGGCTAACAACTGTTGCCAATCTTTTTTTTTTTTCTGCTTTATCTCCCCAAACCCCCCTGTACACAGCTGTATATCTTACTTGCAGGTCCTTCTAGTTGTGGGATGTGGGACGCCACCTCAACGTGGCCTGACGAGCGGTGCCATGTCTGCACCCAGGATCTGAACCCTGGGCCGCCGCAGCGGAACGCGCGAACTTAACCACTCGGCCACGGAGCCGGCCCCTCTCTTGTCTTTATCTTGTCTCTCTGCTAACGGATACAAGAAGCCTCTTGATTGATTATTCTGTCTAGTTCCTGAAAAATTTCCACAGGCTATTAAATCTTCCTTTACGCCTTCTCCTGAACGCACAGCCACACTTAAGGAAGTAATGCTCCCTGTACAGTAACGCCAGTTACCAAATGCGAAAAGAAAGGTTACAAAAAAGAAAAATGCGTGACTGGGGACAAGAATAATAATGAGAATTCTGGTTATCTTTTTAAGAAGTTTCTAAAAGTGCAAATATGTCCTATCAAAATATTAAATTTAGAATAGGAAAAAAATAAATAAATGGTTCCTCGTGACTTCTGTGGCCTAAACTTTTCTCATGTTCCCTTCAACACATCAGAGTCCTCACCCAGGACCTGTAACACTGGATTAATTGAACTCACCTGATGAAATCACTGCCTCCCTGCTGGACTGTAATGTTCTGCTCCTCACTCATCTCTCTCATCTGCATTCACCACAACCCTTAGACCATGAGAGCCAATAACATGATTTATGAGTAAATTATTTCCAAATGAGGCTGTGGACTGAATTAGAGAAAGAAAACTTCTCTCATCTCTTCTGCAAATATACAACCTTAATGGAGGCTAAATGAGTGCCACATTAGGAAGGATATCAGTTATCAAGGAGATCCTGATCCATTATAAACATTCTTGTATCCTGGGGAAACTTCACTAGAGCTCAAATGCCTGAATGCCACCTGACTGCACTTAGAACATCCACACCAACAGGAAACACTTGCCCATCTAATGGCACTAGGATGTCACTTCAGTAGAAAGAGGCATTCCTTACTCACCAGTGGCTGCATTGTCAATAACTCAGTTGGAAGCTGTCTTTCTCTGGGTTTTCACTCACAGGCGGTCCAAGCATTAAGCAGGCAAAGCTGAGGAAGGAGAAAGAAGCCATGAGACTCCAGTCCTGTGCACTGGACTGGACTGTCATGACCCACTTGTCATGTCCAGACCCAAACGACCTGGGTCTGACCCCCTGGCCTAATCAAAAAACATGCAGTGCCCTCTATGAGAAAGACACAGAGGACTCTCCTCCCCTCCCAGGGTCAATAGTAAGACGACTATGACTAACTATAGTTGATAATAAAAAACACAGAAATACAGCTATCGTATGGATAAGAACATCAAAATTATTGAGTTTTATATGTTAATTAGCCTATAGCATCCAGCCTTACGCAATCCCTCTGTGACTCTAAAGCAGAGTGATCCCTGACTCATGCCACATGGAGATTTTGGTTTCCACCTGTAGGAAAACACTGTGGAATCTCTCAGGTTTCCTTATTCTTGCCTTATGCACTAGCAGCAGTCCTCCAACATCCACGGCAGCCCTCTGGAGCCTCACTCCCTTCCTGCTCTCCCTCAGTCCTGACGTTTAGATCTGTCCCCCATGGACCTGGATATCAAGCAACCAAGAATCTATTGTATGATGGAGTTAATTAATTCAAGGATTTATTCCATTTGGAGGGGTCAATGGTACCCACCCTGCCAGTCCAGTCCTTAAGATCCCCTGCATGAGAAAGTAGCAGGAGTATAGGAGTCATAACATTATTCTCATGTATGTCTCGATGCTCTAGGTCAAGGACACTCAGATAATAGGGAGTGCTGGGGTTTAGGAGAAAATCTAGATGCTTCGTCTGATAGTTTAGCCTAGTGGTAGCAGTAATCCTCCAAATCCGGTTCTGTATTAATCCTCATTAGCTGCAACATCCCTGGGTTTCAGTATTTACCAACACACAGGTATATGTATATGTACATGCATATATATGTATATACACAGAGAGAAAGCAAATTCTCTCCTAAAATACCAATAATAATTAAATGCATTTCATGGAAAAATGATGATAGTGTGTCATAAACAAAAGTAGGATTAACTCACCCATTTGTATCTGAGGTCCATAAAAGGGAAAAAAAAGATAAATTTGGATCAAATGTGACTCTGTACTTATTTACATATATTCACTTACTTAATCCTCACAATAAACCTGCTTATAATTTACTAATTTTTAACAAATGACATGAACAGTAGAGGTTCAAAAAACTTTAGTAAACTAATAGTTACACAGCTAGAAAATGAAATTTGTGTAATTTTAATGTTGCTCTGCCTGTCTTCTGTGCTCAAATCCCTGACTTGTCAGGGACTGGGGATGTTTGGTGACTGGGAGTTTCTTCATAGCTAGAGTTTAGTCAGGTGGGAAACCTAACTTCCTTCATTGAAGCTGGAATCATCTCAGAACCATTCGTGCTTCAGACCAGCCTCTCACACCCAGCGACCGGAACCCTGACCTTGGGCATCTCCAGAAGAGAAATCTCACAGCAGGGGCCTTTCCCTGCGACAGCAAACACTGCCATGGTCAACAGACTAAAATCAACTGCCTTCAATTCGAGTCAGGGAGGGGAATGACTGATGCTCAGGGCCCTTGGACACTATCAACTGAAGGATCAAATATACCTCTTCTACTGAGCCATCATATCTATATACATATACCCCCTCCACTGAGCCATTACATATACCTCCTCCATTGTGCTATCATATGTGTGTGTATATATATATATATATATTCCCCTTCCACTGAGCCATCACATATACCCACTCCACTGAGCCATTACATACACCTCATCTACTGTGCCATCATATCTATATACATACACCCCCTCCACTGAGCCATTACACATATCTCCTCCATTGTGCTATCTTACATATATATCCTCTCCACTAAGGCATCATAGACACCCCTCCCACTGAACCATCACATATATCCCCTCAACTGTGATAACATATATACCCCTTCCACTGAGTCTTCATATACGGCCCCTCCATTGACCCAGCATATACACTCCCTCCATTGAGTCACCATACATACCCCTCATTATGCCACCATATATACCCCCTCCATTACACATACCCCTCCACTATGCCATGATATACACCCCCTCCAAGGAACCCAGGATGAGTTCTGTGTGAGAACTGCCATCCCAGAGATACCACAGAGACTCTCAAGCATTTCCCCAAATAGAGCCCACACATACCCTGTAAGGTGTCAGTTCCATGTCTCCAAAGTGCAGAATGTTCAACTAGCATCTTCCAAAGCTTACAAACTCTGTAGAGGGAGAAAAATGACACTCACTCCAAAACTGAGGAGAGCCCAAGGTTTCACCTCTGCCCGTTGCTGTCCCCCTCCATGGCCACAAAGCCAGAAAGAGACTGGATGCCCTGCTCCAATTGTGCCCTGAGCTCTTAGACCAATTTGCTCTTTTAGGGCACTTACACTGGGCCCTCTGCTCTACGCCCCTCAAATACCTGCCTCTACCCTGAGCTCTGAGGTACCTGCTCCTCTCAGACTAGTGAGAACACCCTTCCCCCGGGACATTGGTCCATACCTAGAAATTTGAATCTTCTCTGCAATGCACAGGAACGAGAATGCCTTCAGCATCCCAGAGGCAGGCAGTGCCAAGGGGGTTACCAAGCTTTGCTCTCTGCTACTTGTATGCATGTATCGTGAGGAAGAATTTGAACCTTCTGCCTTCTAGGGTGACTTGAAGTGTCTGAGGAACTGGAGAGCTGTTTAAGAGTCTGAGGGTGACGGCTGGATTCTGGGCACTGTCTCCTCCTCTCTTCCTCTGTGAGTCACCCAGCAGGGAGGACAGAGCTGTCAGTCAGATCTGAAAGAGAAGACCCAGATTAATGCAAGGATCTGATAACTGGGGAGGGCAGCCAATATCCAGGACAGTTCACAATGCCCAAGAGACACTCCATAAATACAGTTTCCCGACTGAGTTATCCAAAGCATAGGGAGCATCCAAGGAGAGGGAAGGAAGATGTAGGAAAACTAATCAGACACTGGCCACGGGCTTATGTTAGGTTTTGACTTCAGGGAAAATTACGTTTTTTTACCTTTAGAAATTTTCTTCTAAGGAAATATAGGGATATATGGGGAAACTCCACACATATGAAACAGGACAGTTCTACTAGTGGGAAGGAAGAATGTACCTAGGTGTCACTGTGCTTTGTCCACGCTTCCAAGTGGCAAGCAGCAGAGAAGGTCATGAGTGTGTGAGAACTAGAAATAAAAAGCAGCCCCTCAGTAGCTGACCTTTTATTTTTTTGAGGCAGATTAGCCCTGAGCTAACATCTGCTGCCAATCCTGCTATTTTTCGTTGTCGAAGACTGGCCCTGAGCTAACACCCGTGTCCATCTTCCTCTACTTTACATGTGGGATGCCTGCCACAGCATGGCTTGACAAGCGGTGCGTATGTCCACACCTGGGATCCGAACCAGCAAACCCCAGTCCGCCGAAGTGGAATGTGCCAACTTAACCACCGTGCCACCAGGCTGGCTCCTGGTTTTTCTTAGATTATGGAGACCCCAACCAGGTCCCAAACTTTCCCAGTGTCCTAGGCTAAAGAGTCACTATTCTGAGCCAGGAAGAGTTCCTGCTAGAGCGCATCCTTGACATGTATTTCTCGCCACTCTATTGCTGTGAATTCATGCAACTTAAGGAGAAGTCAACTGAATGAAAACAACTTAAAAAAAATAACCAGTGCATTAACTATTAAAAAGGTTAAAGTATAAGAGGTAGGAGTGAAAAAGTAATTGACTATTAATATTCAAGCAACCCTCTGCCTTTGCAGCAGAATATCACTTAAAAATTATCAAATAATTTTAGTAATGGATGGACTATAAATTATTAAATATCTTAATTAACAAGACTTCAAAGCAGAATTACAAGAATGAAAGTAAGAGATTATAAAACAAGAGAAGAAAGAAAAATGACTTGGCAGAGCTCCAAAACTTTCAAAAGTAAAACAAAGCCGTTTAAGAAAAGAGACCACATTGGTAGATTAGAGAAAGGAAAACAGACAATGCTAAAAGTCACTCATTTATGTGGACGACAGGCTTTAAAAGGAGCAAAAGGAAAAAGGATTAAGTAAAAATTACTGAAAAGATTAAAGAGAAAGTGAAAGCTGTTAAAGACCACAACCTATAAAATCCAACTTACTGATAAAGATAACAAAGGAAATGAGGCAAAAATAATTGTATAATTTAATAAAGTATTAACATACGAAAAAAGGAATTTGTGAATTTGTGGAAAACTCTGCAAAAACATATGTAAAGCAACAAAAATAAAAGTACCCCATAGAGTCTGTAATTCACAGATGAAGAATGCTTTGAGGATCATTATCAAAACTCAAGGAAAATAAGAGATGACAGTCACTCAACGAAATGATAATGCAGAATAGCTAAAAAATCTCCAGGTTCCCTTTAACTGCAACCCTTAATCTTAGAAGCAAGGAAACTCTTCCTCAAATATCACGAGAGATGGATTCAGAGAAGACTTGTAAGTATAACCCAGAGATGGACTAACAATAATTTAATGGTCACACAGAGACTGTGCCAGTGACAAGAAAGGACAGGTATTACGAGAAGGCAGTCAAAGCAAACATTTCCTAAGGACCCTTGTGTGGAGTCAACAGAAAACTCTGTCTCATTGGGTAGAAATTAAACGTATTTTTAATAACCTAGGACTACAGGCAAACTTTAGGACAAAATCTACTTAACGGTTCTAAGTTATTCTAAGTGATAACTTCATACAACATGATATTGACCAACGGCTCGCAGGAGCAGGAATAGCGACTCATCTTTGGTGCCGGCACAGCTTAGCCTCTCCCTCCACATCTCTCAAAAAGCCTCCAGGAAGCCCTTCTGCTTCTTCGTTATCACCTTAATATGCTAGGGCGTTGCTAACCATTAAGGTTTCCCAGCCCTTCCTAGGCTATTGGGACACAGCTGCTTAGTTCCGGGGTGCACATCAGGGAACTTCGTTTCCCCCAAAACCACGTTCTCCAACAGATCTGCCAATAAATATCACTGATATCTATACCTATTCACCCGTCCTTTCTTTCTTTTCAGAAATGCAACCTGGAAAATTGATGTATTAAGTGAGCTCTCAGTCTCCACACCAGTGATGGGCTGGGCACCACTCCAGGTGCTAAGAAAGCAGTTTACAAGTTGACATAACCAAAGCAGGCTTGCCTTCTTGCCTCCTCCATCCTAGCAGCACAGACTGGAAAGCAAAGGCACAGAGTGCAAGAAGAAAGCTTCACATATGAAGAAAGTATAAAACTGAAACAAATGTATCTTTCAATTTAATACTGTAAATGAAAAAGCCTATCACCTCACATTGGATCACAAATCAAAATCCAACCTTTCCTGATTTTAACATCCTGCACATCCAAAGAAATCCAGAAATGGTAAAAGTAGAATTCAGTTTATAATTATTCTACAATTTCATACGTGAAAGCATCATACCCCGAAACAGAAGGCCCACCTCTGAAGAGCACAGCAGGCCCTGCAAACATGGTTCATGACAAAGATGGAGGAAAACCCCACAGTTTTAAAAAAGGAATTTACAACATCCTATACACAATGAAGTATGATCAGAAAATAATGGCAACCATAGAAGACGTGATATGCTAACTGAAAATTAAGGGGAAAATGTCTTTTACATAAATTTGGCATAAATTTTTAAAAATACACATTATGGGGGCCAGCCCCATGGCCCAGTGGTGAAGTTAAGCACATTCCACATTGGCGGCCCGCGTTCGCGGGTTCAGATCCTGGGAATGGATCTATACCACTCGTTGGCCATGCTGTGGTGGCAACCCACATGTAACATAGAGGAAAACTGGCAGAGATGTTAGCTCAGGGCTAATCTTCCTCAGAAAAAAGAAAAAAAACACATTATGAAAAATAATAACAATACTTGAACATATTATATAAAATGAATGGAACAAAGCTAAAATGATATTCACAGAAAATTTTTTGTCTTAAATATGTAAGTTTTAAAAGGGTTTAAATAAATGATATAAGCATCTACCTTAAAAAGTTAAAGAAATAAAACGGAAAAAGTCATTTGAGTAAACCCATAAGAGGGAATTAATAGAGAAGCAGGAAATAAATCATTATAAACCGAAAAAGTAGAATAAAAACATAAGCTGTAGCTCAATGCGCTCAATGGAACTTTCTGAGATGGAGTAAGAGTTCTACATCCGCATCATCCAATAGACACGTGTGGTCACAGAACACCTGAGAGGGTCTGAACTTCGGTTATTTAACTCTAGTTAATCTAAATTTAACAGCTACATGTGACTAGCGGGTACTCTATCGGCCAGCACAGATCCAGAATCTCAGAGGAGACAGTTAAAAGTAATGAAATAGATTCAAGACAAAGATGGAAAAGAGATACAAATAGTCAAAAACAGCACATGAGGATGGTGGAGTACATGTAGACACAATAAAATTTACAGATTGTAAGATGTGGCTTTCAGATGGCAAGTGTATAAAGACAGACACAGAGGGCACCAGACATGCTGGGATTCTAGAGACGTGAAACTCAAACAGCCTGAGGAAATCTGGACTTACACATAAAATGGGAGATGATTCAATATGAAAATCTGCAACAATCCATGATGTGACAAAAATAAACTGTCACTGGAGGGAGGCGCAGAGTGTTCGGGCACTGGCCACACAGTACTTTCAAGAACATATTAAGAACTTATCAGCTATCCATTTAAAGTGGGAAGCCGACTTTATGTTTTGGCTAGTGGGAAAATAAATAAAATGTTAATACACAGCTGTAGTGAATAGTGTTATCGCCATCTCATTCACAACCGGATTATACATTTAAGTGAAATTCTTACCCCTGCAGAGATAAAATCTTCCGGCTTAAAATTTCTGGTTTCCATATCAAAATAGTTCCACCAAGGGACACAGTAAATACGCCGCTGCATCTCAGGTCATCTTGGTCATTTCTCAAAAATGCCTGGCAATCCTATTAGGTCTTACATGTCAATTCCAATTCCCATGCAAAATAAACATTATTTCAAACCTTTGCTGTGACCGATGAATTTGCAGAGACTGGTCTTTCCTCTTAGATTCATCAGACGGTTTGTGACTTATTTCAAATGAACAAATGAAGTAGATAATTTTAGAGGTAGATGCTTTCAACCATTAAATGTTAAAGTGTTCCTGCACTCACATCCAGGGTTCATGCCGTCTCCCCATAACAGGTGAGGAATTACTTTCAATCTCACCTCGGTTCTTTATCTCTAGCTTGATTTCCTATTATTGCTATTACTTCCTATTTATTCCTATTATGCTATTTCTTGCCATAGCATGAATTTTATGTTATTACTTACAAAATAAACACTTTATCTTAAACTATTCCCTCTCAATTTGATCCACCCTCTTAGCATTTAAATATGCTACACTATCTCCCGATCTGAAATTTAAATTAAAAGTAAATAAAACACTTCAGGACTCCTTTATTTGCAGCCGCTGCCCTCTCATCACTTTTTAATCCAAGGTGAAGGCGGAGTCCATTCATAGGCATTTCTCTTCATCTTACACCATCTCTTCTCACTCCAATCTTTTCTTTTTGTCCCTATTAATTCATGGGCGTCATTCTTGCTGACACTAATTCATGGACAAGCCTGCTGAAATATTGAACGCCCCTCTCTGGAGGTATTGGCAGGTCCATGCTGATAGGGGAGGCCCAAGGAGGATGTCCTAGGCCTGCCTGATCTTCTAGAAAAAATGTCTGTTTAAGAAGATTTCATTGACAAATGGTGTCTTTTAGTGGAAGTGGATTTATCTCACCCTTCTTCCCTCTCCAATTCATCCAGGTTAACAAGTTGTTGTCATGTATAGGGGTGGAAATGTCCAGTTATCACTCATTTTTCAAAGCTTTCACACTTTTTAATCACTTCAATGAATATTACGTTTCTCAGTTAAACCCATAGGCTAGAGATGAATGGATAAGCAAAATGTGGCAGATTCATACAACGGAGTATTATTCAGCCTAAAAAGGAAGGAAATTCTGACACATACTACAACATGACTGACCCTTGAGGACACTATGCTAAGTGAAATAAGCCAGTCCAAAAGAGACAAATGCTGTATGACTCTGCTTGTATGAGGCACCTAGAGTAGGCAGATTCATAGAGACAGAAAGTAGAAATGGGGCTGCCAGAGGACGGGGGAAGAAGGGAATGGGGAGTGATTATTTGAGGGACAGAGATTCAGTTTTGCAAACGAAAAGAGTTCTGGAGATGGATGGTGATGATGGTCTCGGCATTCTTAATTAATAATGAGTTCATTACTTTGAGGGAGAGTCACAGAAGGTACATTGCTAATTGTGGGTTCAATTGGATTTTCAAAGTGAACAGATTGTCTCGTTGCTAAACCCCAAATGAGGCACACTTTATGGTTCTATTTGCAACATACAAAGATATACTTTTCTTTCATCATCATACGTAGTAGGATTTTTCAGTCTGGTCAATGTTCCCAGTCAGAGGAGATTAAGCCAGGAATTATTACATTATTACATCATTGTTTAAATGCCTTACCTTTCCATGCCATATAGAAAGCTATTCTCCTCCATCTGTGTACCTACTCATGTCTATAGAGATATACTCATTACCTTGAGCATCTCTGTGTGATGAATATTCATATGCTATGCCTGTTTTGGAGGAGTTTTAATTATTTTATTTTATTTTTTATTTTTTTGAGGAAGGATTAGCCCTGAGCTAACATCTGCTGCCAATCCTCCTCTTTTTGCTGAGGAAGACTGGCCCTGAGCTAACATCTGTGCCCATCTTCCTGTACTTTATATGTGGGACGCCTGCCACAGCATGGCTTGCCAAGCGCTTGCGTAGGTCTGCACCTGAAATCCAAACCAGCGAACCCTGGGCCACCGAAGCTGAACGTGCAAACTTAACTGCTGCACCACCAGGACGGCCCTCTGGAGGAGTTTTTACAACAAAAAGTTGGCATAAACTTTCTGCTTTATGTAGTTATTCCATACATCATGGCACTTTTAACAAGAGTTTCTGGCTCACCTTTATTTCCTTGCCAATGGACTGTCACCTATCACTACATCATTCCTTAAATAAACAATCCTTCTATAATGGAGCATCTCATGGAATTCTTTATAAAGCCTGTTCTGGGTAGAATGGGACCTTCCTCTGGCTCTGAACTGTTAAAGGTGTCCATAGCTTATAAATATTCATATGATTAAAAATCCTTCCCATCCTCTCCTTTGTTCATAATTATTGTCCCCTTTTTCATTTGGGGTTTCATTTCCAGTTTTCCCCACACAGAATTTTCCAAGTTCTCTAGCACCTGTTCCTGTGGCTGGTTTCTCCACCTGCCAGCCAGAGGAATGGGGACGCCGCCTTCCGGGAGCCCCAGGCAGAGACAGTGGACAGCCATGCGCAGACACTGAGGGACCCGGGAAGAGCAGATGGCAGAAAGGCTGCCAGCACTGAGGGCGGAGCCAGTGCTGGGGCTTAATGTTCCCCATAGTGGGGCAGGGAGCGGATCAGCTGTCCAGCCTTCCTCCCTTGGAGGTTCCCCACTCCTGCCAGATGTCCAGGCTCCAGGACGGGATGGGCGCAGGGCAGCAGGCAGGCCCTGCACCTGCTCCTTTCTTCCCCCTAGTGTCATCTACAGGTGATCTTCTAAAAATCCTTGCTTTCACCTGTGCCCCAATCCTGATGTTTCTTTTTCTCTCCTGCTACTTGCCCTTTGTCTTTAGGAACACATTTCAGACCTAGAACTGATTCACACCACCTTGAGTCCTGATCTGGGTTTCTGGTCATTCACTCACCAAGGTCTATAGTCTATGCTTCCATCTCCTTAGCTTTCTTCTTATTATTGCTCTCATCATAAAGAACATTATCATTGTTGTTGTTAATCATCATGACTATAATTATTACAATAATTATGATTATTGTCATCGTTGTTATAAAACATAGAATCAACGTTCTCTATCCAGGAAGGGTGTCCTGTTCACTGAAGGAGACTACAGAGGGTGCACAAAATACATACAAACACACAGATGTTTTCAAGGCATTCCCAGCACCCCTTCCATAAATAAGTGTCCACAAATTTCCCAATTTTCCTTCCACATTCCTGGCATGGCCATTTTGACAGGGGAGGCTTGGTGAAAGCATCTTGGCCTGCCTGACCCTCTGGAAAATATTCTAAGTAATCTCGGGGACCAGCAACCCCTCAAGCCTGCCTGCAAGGCCCAGGGACAGCATCCCTGACCCCCTAGGCTCAATGACAATTTTCCTAAGACCCCTTGGGGGCCTAGGAATAGACGCAATAAGCATGGAAGGCCAGAGAGGAGGCCCCCACCCTCTGGAGCCTTCGCAGCATTTCTAATCATGCCCCGGAATCAGGGAACTACTCCTGCCACTCTACAGACCTGCAAGGACAGAGAAGGCAAGGAGGGACCAATCCAGTCGCCAATTAACAGACTCCGAAGCAAGATCCCTGAAGCACTTACCAGAAGTGAAGGCAGGAGGGTGAAGGAGACAGAAGTGCAGCAAGACAGCCAGGGCTGAGAAAGTGCTGCAGCCTCAATGTTCGGAGTGGGTGGGGCTTTGGAGCACTGGGGGGCAGGGCATGGTCCCTGAGTCTGGCCTTCTTCCTAGGAGGCCAGATTCCCTGCAAGACACACATACACACAAACATATTTAAATAAACCAATACAAGAGCTGTCTCTGAAAGACATTGTTTTCCAGATGTATTTTTATATCTTCTCATTTTTATGTCAGCATTTTAGAACAATTAGCACACAAATAAAAGTCCGTATAATTTTTTTAAAAGAGAAAAGATGATAGTTTCCACGATATGTGTGGATTACAGAGGAAATCAAAATGACTGCTTATTCTAGAACAACTCTTTTGCAAGACGCAAAACTCACAGTTAACAAATAATGAGCCATTCTGAAAACCATATAGCAATTAAACAAAATCCAGGCAAGAAGAGCTTTTCACATTAAATTTGATAGTTTTCATAGATCATTCAGCCTTAAGAGTCTAGGAGTTCAATGAGAGTTTCTGCTGCCTCTAACTTCATCTATTTCTAATGCATTCTCCTTAAGAAGACATTAATATTGTCTATTAAAGTTTCTATGACTCATTCGATATCATGACCTTAAAAAAACTCTTCACCATGACAGCTGGTCTTTCATAATATCTCAGACAAGGCATTAAGAATTTCACAGGTATCACCCCTTGAAGAGAAGCTCTACAAAACAACACTTTTACTTCCATTCAAAAATATTCCAACAAGTTGAGTAAGGTTAAGTACCTACTGAATGAAGAAACAAACAAATTAAAAGCAGAAAAATGGATATTGTATATTCCCAGAAAAAATTAAAACAAAAATACGACATTCACAAATGTGTACATAACAATTTGTTAGAAATAACACACAAATAGAAGCATGGAAATTAAGAAGAAAGTGTTAAATCCTTAAACTTTAATAAGGAATTTAATAACAATACACTCTGAAGTTATTATGTCTATAATGCACTACCATGAGTAAGTGCATTGAAGATTTAACATATCTAAACAAGAAAATACGAATTGCACCTTGATCCAAAATGTAGAGACTTTCTATCCCCATTTATTCCAATTGTAGAGACTTCAGTATACCCATTGCATCCATCGCATATGACTTTGCAGTCAGCCACAGAGAAAATTTCAGCTAATTGCAAAAGAGAACAAATCAAATAGGCCACATATGCTTACCACAGTAAGAATAAAAGGTAAGTAAACAATAATGAGGTATTACAAACAAAAACAAGACAGTTTAAACAACAAGCTTACAATACAATCCAATGGCCACTGACAATTAGTCAACATCACCATGAAGAATAAATATTGTCAAAACCACGGAATAGGGCCAAAATTATCAACTTGCAAAACTGTATAACTTTAAATTTACATATCTGAAAAAGAGAGGTTTGAAAATGAATGAACCAGTTGTTCAACTCTATAAACCAAGAGAGAGAGTAAAAAGAAACAAGAGTAAATCGACGGGATGAGTAGGATGGGACTGGGGACACAGGAACACGGGTGTCACAGGACATGGCGGGTGAACGCCCCCAGCACGGGGCTCAGGGTCCTCTCTCAAGAGGTGGCTGCAAAGGGGAGGCCAGGACAGCAGCAGGGCCGGACCCCGGGTGACAGGGGGACAGGGAGGAGGACTCAGGAGAAGACTGGGGTCCCCAAGATCCCAGAGCCGGGGAACGGCGGGCGCCCCGGCGCTGCCCTCCAGGGCCCGCGAATCCACCTCCCGTGGGGACGGGACCCGCCGCGGGGTGGGAAGGGGAGACGACGACAAGATCGCGGGCAGAAAGGTCAGGGCGTGGACCGGGCTCCGAGCGATTTTACCGGAAACTGACTCCGACCCGGACCCGGCAGCAGAGCGTCTCCTGACTAGGCGGCGCTCCCCGCGACGGCGACAGGGGGATGCCGGGGTTGTCACGGCCGCGGGAGCCCGCACTCGTGGAGGACGCAGCACCGGGACCAACGAGCGAGTTTGAAGTAGAAACACTGAAACTCACTCCAGGAAACGGGACCCGCGATCTGGGAAATCTGCTTCCGGGTCGACAGGAAAACGCGAGAGCGGGAGGGGCGGGGCCCGAAAGGAGGGGCTTGTGTGGGCGGGGCCTGGCCCTCTCGGCCCCGCCCTCAGGGGCGTTCCCGGTCTGCCCGTACTGCCACCCAGAAAATTGTGGTCTCCGCCTTCGCATCCCCAGGGATGTCTTCGGTATCTGTGCGGTTGCCCTGCGCCCACCCTGCTTCGAGTTCAATGATTGAGATGCTTCACGGTAAAAGCTCAGAGTTAAGGCGCCGCGCATATTCAGTGCGGAGATGTTTCCTTCTCAAAAAATAGAAAACGATTTACGGCAACGCGCCGTCTCGGGGAGCGTGTCCTGCGAGCCCGGGGGGCTAAGCGGCTGGGGGTGTGCGGACCCGGGTGCGGGTCCATGCGGGCGGCGGCTGGATCAGGAACGTCTGCGGGTCTGCCAATTAAGACTTTGCTCCTTTTTCTGTGTTTGGTGAGAACTAGAATGTGAACGCCAGACTCGCCCGTGGGAAATGTGAAATTTCAGCCTGACGACCACAGGAGGCAGCTTCCCTGTCTGCGCGCCCCGGGCTCGGGGTCGGGACTTCGCGGGCCGGGGTCTCAGGCTTTGCTGTCAAAGAACAAAATCACTGCTGCTCGTGTGCAATCTAGATCTCCTTTCTCCTTGTTTACGTTTATTTCTATCTCACACGTCTTGAGAATGGTTATCAATTGAAATTCCTTTGAGACAAGTGTGGATGCCACCCTCCAAGTTGCATGTCATTATTTTCTAAATATATTGTAATTTCACATTTTTATCTTTGTTCGCAGAGTTACCTGAGAGAGTTCTTTTAATGTGAAAAATGAGATATTTCAATCTGTGTTTTTGTTTGCTGTTTCTGAATCTTTTGGGTCAAGTATGGATAATGAGCCTTCTAAAAACCGTGCTGCTTTGGGAGACAGGTGGATTGTACCTTCAACTAATGAAAAGTTAATTTTTTATTACTTCCAGATACATTTGATTGGGATGTCTGTTCTCCCACAGGAACATTAAAAAGCGTAGTAGAACTGTATTATCACGTTTCAATACCTTATTTATACCCTTAAGGAATTCTAATGTGAAATATGTGAGTTAAAAACTCCTTTTCTATTTCCTTTGTAAATTATGAAGTTCATGCTAGAGGCAGTTTGGCAAGACTAAATCCCAACTATTCATCCTGAAGAAATTTCTCCAAGATTATTTCCAGAGAAGAACCCTTCTGGCTTTCCCATAACTAGTAAAAATTTCTCCAACTTTTGTTTGTTTGTTTTTTTAAATAAGTATTTGGACTCAAATAGATTTAAATTCTGAAAGATAATCTTCTCTTAGGCAGGGGAACAGTAAACACCGTGGGGTTCATATCGGGGGGAGTGGGGGAGCCCTGTCCACTGCTCCTCCAGGTCTGCAGCTCACTTAACCTGAGCTCACCTCACTCCTCTCGGATCTGTGGGGAACTGGACACAGATTAAGGAGCCGGGACTCAGTACAGTTTGGGGATAAGGAATCCAGATATCGGAACCTCTCCCCCATTTAGTTTTTCTTCATCTTCCTCTCTCTTTACAGAGAAGTCAAGCAATATAGTTTTGCCTATGTAAGGCATCTAGCCTCCAGCACACCTTCTCCATCAAATCTTCTGTGTTCTGCTTTATACGTAATGTGTGCTTGGAGTGGCTAAAAGTCGACTGAAGCGATTCATCTTGGGTGTACATCGGATGCATATTGTTTGGAAATTCCCTGTGACAAGCTAACTCTATAGGATGGATGTCTTAATAAACCTAGGTCTGCCCACCCCATCTCTGAATCTCTATTTCCCTGACTTGGAATTAGATCCAGTGAAAACTGAGGAGTGAAGAGAAGTGAGAGTGCACTGAAGTATAATTTCTTCTATTTATGTTATTATTATTATTAGAATGAAAAAAACATTTTCCAGGCATTCCTTTGAAAAGTTCCATCACTAAAGAACTAGTCCCTTTTTCAGGAGGAAACACACAGCCCTATATAAGTAAAATGATTGTAGGATAGCAGTTTCATGAGAATCAGCCAGATGGCCTGATAGGTAGGGAGCCCCTCTAGAATGGAATGCAATGTAAGGGAAGCTGTGTCCATATCACCCCAGGGGTGATGATGCCCTCGCTCCTCAGGGAGACCCTGGTCCTGGCATATGTGACCATCAAGTGTCCTGACATCTGAGGGAGTGTCCAGCTGAGGGTAGAGATGTGCTGAGATCTTGGCTGGGAGTCAAACTAAGGAATCTTGTAGAATGAAGCAGTTTCTGTGTTTCGTTTAGGACAGTGGAATAAAGGGGCTTGAGTTTGAAGATTTGATTCCCCTGCGTGGGGACTTGACCACATGAGAAGGTTTTAAGTGTAAAGTTGGGGAATATGGTGACTTCCAGTGTTGAAACATTTATTAGGCTTTTGTCCTTCTGAGATTCTGCTGAGATCTTCAGGATGTTCGTGTGCCAAGACTTGTCTCATTCTTTTATGATGAAAACATGTTTATGTTTGGATGCATATGTTAATACCCTATGCCATGTTGGAAGTGAAGAAAACACAACAATCCAGCAGTAGAAACTGGGGGATGAGGAACATAAACACAATGAGTTTGTGATGAAAATCCATTGGCTGATGACCCTCACATCCAGACTCAGATCACACTCTAGGGACCGGTCCAGTGGCACAGCAGTGAAGTTCGCATGTTCCGCTTCTTGGTGGCCTAGGGTTCACCGGTTCGGATACCAGGTATGGACATGGAACTGCTTGGCAAAAGCCATTCTGTGGTAGGCGTCCCACATATAAAATAGAGGAAGATGGGCATGGATGTTAGCTTTGGGCCAGTCTTCCTCAGCAAAAAGAGGAAGATTGGCAGTAGTTAGCTCAGGGCTAATCTTCCTCAAAAAAAAAAAAAAAAAGAGATCACACTCTAGAGGCCTCAGAGCCCTGCGTCGTGGGGGATCTCAAGTCATTTCCAGTACACGCCCTCATGCACAGAGCAACACAGACTCACCCACAAACACCAGGATGCTGTGGTCTCCAGCACCACGTCTCTGTTCAGGATCCTCAAAGAAGGGATCAGAATGTCCAAGTACTCCTGAGGGAAGTTCATGGTCAGTCTTTGAAGTTGACTCCTTCCTGAAAGAGCATGCATTCCTGCTCAGTCAGGGATCATTTCATTCTAGTATTTATGGAGAAATAATGAGTTTGGCAGATGGAGGAAGGAATGCAAGTTGGCTCTGGAATTGTTGACAGTTTCAGGATTCCAAAGAATTCAGTCAAGTTTTATGGTACCTACTGGGGTGTCCGCATCAGCTCTCTTGTGGATAGGAGGCTTTGCAAACCCAAACACTGATGTCACACTGCAATTTCTTGTAAGATGTTTTGATATGTCCTCTGATCAGGGCAGGCAATGAAAACTGCAGTCAGCATGGGTGGAAGTGGGGGAGTGGCTGAGGAACAAGCCCTGATGGCCAAGTCTGCGCCTGATTTGTGGATACCCACTGATGCCCAGTGACATCCGGCCATGCATGTGCACAGGACACTGATTGGCCTATGCCCCTCACAGAACCAAACTCTGCCCACCACAGCACCTGCATGAGGGGAGTTTCCAGCTCAAATCCTGCACATGTGCCCAAAGATCTCCTAGGAGAGCCCCACCTCTCCCAGTCCCACTATCTTCAGCAGTAACATGGTTTTTTCCCTAACTGGGGCTCCAGATCACTTGACCAGTGACATGATGCTACGGACTAAATTGTGTCCCCCAAAACTCATATAGCGAAGCCCTGACCCCCGCCCCCCCACCGCCGTGTGATGGTGATTGGAGAAAGGGTCTCTGGGAGGTAATTAGGGTTAAATGAGGTCATGAGGGTGTCGGAGGAGGTCGCTGAGAGGACTTGATTGCTAGTTGACCCATGAACTGGACCTGGGCAATCAGAGGTTCCTCATCCCCTCCCCTGTGCTTGGAATGTAACTTCTGCCCACTGTGCCCACACTAGGAGCCACTTCAAGGAGTCAGCCTTGAGAGAGTAATGTGTTGAGACTGTCTGGATGATGTACATGACAGAACCCCGTTAAGGCCTCTATGTAAACTCTTAAGATTCTGGCAGGTGGGTGCAGAGGTCTACTCATCTTGCGGCCACCCAGGACGAGCCTCATATGTATGTTCCCTTGTTTATTAAGCCTGCCACCTACCAATGTGGAGTGGTCTGCCTCTTTCTTTGGTCTCACCCTGCCTCCATGTATGGGGGCCAGTTTCAAATTTCACCCAGGGAACTCCGAGATTTCCAAACAACAAAGGTGGGACCTTCATTTGGGGATTAGTGCCCTTGTGAGAGGAAGAGA